CTTCCAACTCTATGATTCTATGATTCTATGATTCTATGATTCTAAGCTGGTGTAACAGTCCATGGTGTTTTTTCAGGGTTACACAGTGACAGCATGTATGAAGGTAGTGCAATGGATAGGACATAAATGTTTACAGCTTGAAAATACAGGCACATTTTCTGTCCCAGACAAACGTCTGAAAAAAATGTCTACACAATTTTCTGGTATATTCGGGAGAAGGTAAGTGTTACAGACATCTAATGGCTACTGTTTATGAGATCTGTGTGTGTGTTTAGAGAGAGACTGGGGGTTCATGAGGAACCTGGTTTAAAAATAATCATAATGGGATTTGTGGGCTTGGGAAAGAAGAAAGATAAACACATACGCACACAATTTCAAAATGTGGGAAACAGAGCAAGCAGTGCCAAGATGAGACAAGCCTGGAAAAAGCCCCAGTGTTTGATTTGCATATATGCTACTGGACAAGTAAAGTTGCAAAACCAAGTTCACACTTTAAGAAAGAAAACACTGCCAGGGATTGAGGTGAAAAACTCGGTGTCTATTATTTACATTTAAAGCACTATCTAAAACTTTGGCCTCTATCTCCATTTCATATTCTTATTTTCTTGCATTATTTGTTATCCATGTCTATATGAAACATTTCTGTAAGGTTCATACTGACAACTGACTGGATACACCATTTAAAAAGCCATCAGAGCTTGTGATTATAATAAGTTTGCCATTTTAAAGTCTGAGAGCACCAAAGCATTCTCTTTAATGCATTGGCTAGTTCTGCCCAGCAGTCGTGTTATGGAAACAGGTGAAATTAGGAAGCCCAGAAATCATTTAACTGACCTTGCAGGGATGTGGTTTTGCAAAACATATGATGGGTCATGTTCTGGGACAAGAAGATACAACTTTAGCAAAGAAAGACTGAAGACTGTGAGAAAAAAAATAGCATCTATGGGATTTACATAGATTTTTCTGAGTCCATAGTCTCACCAGTTCTTACAGCAACATTGTAATGTTAGTCACATTTTTAGCCACCCATGCTTTTTTTAACCCATAAGGATCTAGGGTCTGCATTCATTCACCTCTGGACATCTACACCCAAATCTATCAATTATTTGACTTCTAGGACCAGTGGTGTTGGCTTAAAAGAAAATAAAAAAACCCTGTCTGCTCATAAAGCCAGATGTCAAACCATTCATATTTTTTCTCTACCTTTCAAGCTTCGTCTCAAAGTAGTTTACAGTGCATCTTTTATAACTCTTGTTTTTACTTTAAAAAACAGTAACTACAGAGGTAAGTTCACTTGTTGGTTTGAAGTAGAACAGATTCACTGGAATAAATTATTGAACAAACAGAATTTGTTTAGACTTCTCTAGGTCCCATTGATTCATCTACTCTGGTTGGGACTAACAATTAGATTTAGTGTATAATGTGCAGTACCCAACAATATTATCATTTAATTATGACCCATTATGTAGAATGGGAAAGTGAGGATATTCAAATTTGATCCAAACATGATCTCAGATCTCTTTAAAATGCTGTAGTCACGAAACATTTCCTAAAACAAGCACTCGAGCCTCTTTTGTACATGTGTGTTAGTAAAAAATTAAAATAAAAACAAAAAAGATTAAAAAGTAAATTTAAAATTATCCTGAAGGAATTAGTTCCCACCTAATCTTGGAAGCTAAGCAGGATCAGGAATGGTTAGTAATTGGATGGGGGAACTTCCAAGGGATACCAGGTGCTATAGACTATATTTCAGATGAAGGCAGTGGCAAACCACCTCTGAGTATTCCTTGCCTAGCAAAAAAAATGAAATTCCTGAGGGTCACATAAATTGAACAATGACTTAAAGACACAGACACAAGGTAAAAGTACCAAAAGTTCAAGAAATAAGATTGGAGAACCATCTCTAAACTGCAGCTAGTTAGGCTTCATGTAACTACCAGGCCAGAAGAAGGCCTGGTATTTAAATAGTCCCTCTGGCTTGGTTCCACCCAGCATGTCTTGGTCTAGACTGAGATGGTGATCCTAATGAGTTACCTACCTCTTTACCCCCACATAGCTGGGAAATGGGGCTTGGGTGGGTTGTAAATGCTACCAGCCTTTGAAGAAGGCAAAGGGAGACAGATGTATAATACCTTGTGCCCAGAAGCACTTCCTTCTTAACAGCATCCCAGTATAAGATATTTGTTTCTGTAGAAGGCTACCAACAGCCCTAAAGTGTTTGCTCCAAATACAGTGTTGATAATCTGGTCTTGATCTGACAACACTTTGTCCATTCCTGATATATATCAGGAAAATATAATACAACATTATATATAATGTTGTTGTGTGACTTCACGTCATTTATGACTTGTGGCGACCATAAGGTGACCTTATCACAGGGATTTCTTGGCAAGTTTCTTCGGGGGGGGGTGTTGCCATTGCCTCCTCTGAGGCTGAAGAAGTGTGACTTACTCAAGGTCACCCAGTAGGTTTACATGGCCAAGGTAGGAATTGAACCTTCATCTCCAGAATCATAGTCCAGTGCTCAAACCATTACACCACACTGGCTCAAGTTTCATCTGACAACACTTTGTCCACTCTTGATATATATATATAGAGAGAGAGATGCAAGAGGGCTCAAGTGGTTAAGACAATGACTCTGTTTATTGCAAGTTTGGCAGGTTGGCAGTTTGAGGCCTGAGTGCTGAATGATGGGGGTGAGCTCCTGCACTATTCCCAACTTCTGCCAACCTAGCTGTTTGAAAGCATGCAAATGCAAGTAGATAAATAGGTACCACTTTGGTGGGAAGGTAAACAATATTCTGTACAATCATGCTGGTCACATGATCACAGAGAAGTCTCTGACAATGCTGGCTCTTTGGTTTAGTAACGGAGATGAGCACTGCCCCCTATGGTCAGACGCGACTTGATAACTTGTCAACACCTTCTATGTGATGAAGGAAGGGAAGACTGAGAGAAGGGAGAAAGCATAATTTGATCTATCTCCAACACTGATTAAAAACTTATTGTTCATTCCTTGAAGAATGCTGTACTAGAGCCATTTTGGGTATTATCTAACCTGTAGTTTCTAGCCTTCAAGTTTTTTTCTGGGCCTTTGGTTCATGCTCACCCAAGAGCAACAACTGATAGTCCACCCTTATCAGCTTTCAGCCCACTATTAGACCTGTCATCTCCTTGTAGCATGTCTGTACAGTTGTGTTATTGCCATCACTACTACTTCATTGCTGTGGCAACTGGATTTCCACGCTCTGGCAGTGTAATAAAACATTTCTGTTTCCGAGGGCAACTTTTTCTCCTGACAATTGGCAGGTATGTTTTGCTGTTTGTTTCCTCAGGCTTGTTATTAATACATTGTTAGCTCTTTCCATCCAACTGCACCCCTACTGTGTTAGCGACCGTATCATGTGCTGTTGTGCAAGGGATGGGGGAGATTACATTAGCACAGTGGGTGGGCTACTGCTGTGGAAGCAGGAAAGAAGTTAGTAGCTCAGGATGAGTAATCCTCAGTGCACCAACAGCCACAAAATTTGTGCTATCTGGTGGTTCTCAGTCCAACTCCGTACTTTTTTTCTGCATGTGAGTGAGACTGAATTGGGCTTTGCTTCACTTTGTTCAAGCAGGAATCTGTTAATTTTTCAGCCTGGCATTTTAAATATATTGGCTACAATTCTATATTGCAGCCTGTGTTACATAACTTTATAAATACTTAACTATATAGCAAAGGTGCTATGAAACCCTCCTAGTGAATTGTGAAGATGTGTATCAGAGCACCAGCAACAATATCACAATGCACATTGGGTTCTATTGATGTGCATCAGCCTTAGCCAGTGTACTAATGCACCTTAGGCTCTACTAATGTTCATCAGCCTTTGCCAGTGTCCAGTGCACACATTGGGCTCTACTGATGCACATTGGCACTCCTTAGCCAGGAGTGCCAGAGCTCATCAGGAGGGTCTGATACTCATCATTCCCAATGTGCAGTGGTCTCAATGCACAACAGTCAATTCATTAGCTCCTCTAATGCAATGACTGCTAAATTCATTAACAATGTCATAGCAATCCCTTTCTGAATGCTGCAAAACTTTCCTGCAGATATAAGTCCACTTCCATAGACATAGGTCCCATACTGAATTCCAGCTGCACTTTTATGTGCAAGTATGTATTAAATATCCCTTGACTTTCATATATAGGTTGTTCAAGTCATTGTCAAGTCAAGTGTGAGTTCATGTATTGATAGGTTTTCGTTGGTTTTTCGGGCTGTGAGGCTGTGTTCTAGAAGAATGTATTCCTGACATTTTGCCTGCATCTGTGGCTGGCATCTTCAGAGAAGGTGACATGGAGGCATGCAGGTGAAACATTAGGAGTACATTCTTCTAGAACATTGCCTCACAGCCCAAAAAACCCACAAAAACCTATGGATACCATCCGTGAAAGCCTTCAACTTCACATTGTGTGTCCATGTCATTGTCAACACACAGTGACCCTAAGGTGACCCTATCAATGAGGATTTTTTTTTTTTTTTTTTTGGCCAGATTTATTCAGAGGAAGTTCACTTCTGCCTTCCTCTATGGCTGAGAGAGTGTGATTTGCCAAAGAGCACCCAGTGGGACTTCATGGCTGAGCAGAGAATCAAACCATGGTCTACCAAAATCCTAGTTCAACATTCAAAACACCACACTCTCTTTCTCTCTTTAGGATCAGTATGTAGAGAGATCTTGTAGAACCTTTGAGACTAACTGAAATAAAGATGTTGGCAGCATGAGCTTTTGTAGACTTCAGTCTACTTCCTCAGGAGGCTTGGGAAAGTTAAAAAGGGAGGTCCCTCTTTGAAAGGAACAACACTGCCAGAATGGGGTGCCTGGCAAAGACGGCAGGTGGGCAGGCTCAGCAGGATTTCCACTTGAGGAAGAAACCCAAGAAATGTACCTGCAGCTACCCTCCTCCTCCTCCTCCTCCACACTTTGCCTGTGGGAATAAAAGGGGGGGGGGAGTGAAGGAAAAGGAAACTCAGGAGTCACCAGAGCATTGACAATATACAATACAAGGGGGGACAGAGGAAGAACCTACACACTTCCCTTCCTTTCCACCCTGGCTAGCTGGCTTGAGCTAGCAAGACAAGGCAAAAGGAAAGAATAGCAATAGCAATAGCAACTTCATGAATATATTGCTTCATACCACACTTTGCAGTCTATAAGTGGTTTATAACTGTAAGCTAATTACCCCCAACTAGCTGGATACTCATTTTAGCAACCTCAGAAAGTTGCAAGCCTAAGTCGAGCCTGAGCCATGGCTGGTATTCTGGTTTGTGAGTGAGTGAATAATAAATTCTGATAAAACAATGAAGGGAGGGAGAAATTAAAATATATGGTTAAGTTGTGCATAGAGAGAAGAGGGTAGTGTTTGTTTAATGAAGTAGGAGGGTAGGAGAGGTAGTATGTCATTAAGGTTTATATATTTTTGTTTCCTTATGTTTATCTCAAAATCCAAATATGTATGTTTCTATTTTGAAAATTATTACTAAATTTGATTGTTTTTTTTTAATGGTGTAGGGCAGCAAGCCTCAACAGCCACCCTCTTCTGCCTTACATAGTAATCACTCCATCTTGAAGGTATCCATTGTAGGTTGAATTTGCAGATGTTATTTTTGGTGTGTGTTAAATATGTTGGTTTTTTTTGGGGGGGGGTATAGTTATTTGCATTTTTTCCACTTTTGATGGGGGGGCCTGTGCCCCTAACTTGAGCAAATGTGGAGGGCTGACTATGGTGGTGGTGATGGTTAATAGTTTTTATAGTATAAATTTTGTAACCTATCTTTTCTCCATGAATGCTGGTCAGTGAAGAACCATCATTTACAATAAATACAACAACATCTAATAAAACAGTTTAACACACTCTATAAATACCAATGTAAATGTACTAAAACACTGTTCTGGTATTCTATTAGTTCATAAAAACTTCCTTTTGGAATGAAAACATTTTACAGCCTCTTTTCTGTCCAGTTCAAGGTCTGCTGTTACTGGAGGGCAGCTATCTTACTCAGGAGATACTACAAGAGGATGTTTTTAACATGATGCTTTCTACCAGCAGGTGTTTTACCACCAGTATAATCTCATCTAACAAATTTTAAATGTAATACATGTCTAGTAGAATCTGGACAATTACTTTTGCAGAAAAAACAAACAAAAAAACAAAACAAAACAAAACAACAGCAGCAAAACAATTATAGTTCAATTGTATTCCCTCCTGACCTAGTAGGTTAATAATTATAGTATCCATTTTGTAAAAATTGCTTTATTCTTTCTCAGTCTTCAAAGTAACTGAAACAGTTTAGTTACTTAGAAAGCACAACTGAACTGCAGAAGCACATCCCTTCCCCACTATTTAATGAAGTCACCCAAATAACTTTAATAGTAACTAAAATTACAAGCTGAACTGGAATAATGAATAGGATGAATAGTTGAATAGGATAATGTTATTCCTCATTAAATTGCGTTCACAATATAACATTATGGCTAAGCAGACCAACAAAAACAGCTGTCATATCAGTGGCTTAGGGGCATGGTGACCAGATGGTGGGCAGCATGGGAACACTCCTGCAGTGCAGCAGTTACATGTTGTATGCCACAGGAGCAGAGAATAGCCACGATGGTAGGGAAAGGGCACATTTTTTTCAACACGAAAAAAGAGTGGCATTTTGCCACTTCTTTTTGTGCCTGAAAAATGCTGGATCAGGGCTGCAGCATGCAGTTGCCACAGCTCCAATCCAACAAGCAAAGAGTGGCACAGAGCCACACCTTTGGGGCAGTCTATTTTGCCCCTTAGTTATATTGACATTATTAGGAGACCTAATCAAGTAATTACTTAGTTACCGTAATTCTTTAATTGTGAATTAATAAATTCATTAATTGTGAATTAATCCTGAACCCTGTTTGCACCTCAGGGATTTCCATCTCCATATGTGATTGAAGTCTGTGTTGCACAATTTTAAGCATGATTTTTCTTGTGGAAGAAATTAATGCTCTAGTCCTATAGATACTGCTGTCTTTTGTATCTCCTTTTTTATGGATGGGGATGTATACCGAGCATTTCTAGTACATCAGTATACCTGGGGTATACCTCCTTTATAACAGAGTAAAATAACTCACATTTTGCTCTGGATCTTCTCAGAAGACCCAGAGTCCTCCATTACAATGTCAGGCAACTGTTTACAACAAGTCCTCCTATGCCAGCTGGCACCACTACTGCTGGTGCAAGTCCCTTGGTCTGAGGGTAGAACAAGGAACCCAACTATAAATGGGCATCTTATATTGACTTCATAGCAAAACAACCCATGACAGCAGTGGGTAACACAAGGAGATGCATATGCAAACAGCCACCAGACATTGCAATGGAGGGCCCCAGGTAACAGGGGAGGTCAGGGCAGTTCCCAGGCCAGAATACTTCAGACTGCTCTCAGAGTATTCTGGCCTATGCAGACACTATTGCTTGAGAAGATAGTGGTATCTTCAGAATGGCTCACATTGGAAAGTTGTAGATCAGGGGTAGGC